CGTGAATTTAGGCTCTTTGACTAAACAGAACAGAACCGACACTAAAAACATTACTTTTGAATTATTTTGTTGATACTTTGATTATAGCCTCTCATGTGCACCAAAAGGTTTCTCTGCATGCAAGTTAGATTTTACAATATGTGAGACCAATGCGCCAACAATGCCAGATGGATTTCTAACCAGACAGATAGATGAAAGATGGATGTTGACACCTTTCCAGATCACATTCGTGCAGATGAATCAAACTGTCTGCCCTAATCCACTATGCATTCATCAAATACTATGCAATCTTTCAAAATCTAGTACAGTGATTAAACGCTGCAAAGCTTTTAAATTCAATGTAATAGCTTGGGAAGTGCCAATAAAGCCTCCAGCAATCTATATCCTATTTGTGATTTGCTTTTCATTTAAATCCAAATGCGCTTAAAGTGGTTTATTTTGATGTTCAGAGCTAAAATGAATTTGACAAACATAAGTAAATGCACACCCTGAAAGTAATTTCAACGGGAAGAAAAAAAATTCTCTTCAGTGTAATTGGAAGTGGTGTCATGTGGCCTTAGTGTGTGAAAGAGATCATTAGGGAAAGACAGAAAAGACAAGAGCAAAGACTCCGTCCAGAATAGCTGTCAAGTCTGCTGTGAGATACAACAAGAACGCAAAAATCAAAAGCATGTGACACTGTGGTCTGTATTAAAGCATTTACAATTTCCAGTTTCAAATGACCTTTCGTAAAAACTCAAAGTCTGATTGCTCCTTATTTCATACAGTCACAAAAAAGCACAGTGGCTGAAATCCTATAACTGGAAATCAAACCGCTACACAAAGATCATTGTTAGATTTTTGAGTAATGCAGGACAATCATAGTTTGGAGATCAGCAACTTCCAGAAAAAACGCACATTCTCCAAAGGGTCAGTGATGTGAGATCAGATGCAAAGAGGTTGCTGCACCAAAAACCTCTGCAATTGCTTTGGTCAACTACCAGATTGATGCAGTTGATCTTAGTCTGCATGGAAGACACCGAGTTGTCTGCAAAAAAAAAAAAAAGATGACTGCCAAGACACGACTTTTACTTTGAAAGGAAGTGTTTTGCTTTCGATTTGCGTCACGTTGTTCACAGTTTCGTTATCGCTTGGTAATAATTTGCAAACTGGTGACCACGGCAACCTGCTGGCAACCAAAGAAATCCCATAGAGGTTTTCTCTTTGTGAGTAATTTCACACTAGCAATTGCTAGTAACCGCTTGCTTACTGGTCAC